GGTCCTGGGATCGAGACCCACATCCGGCTCCCTGCTCCGCGGGAAGCCTGCTTCTCCCTCTCCCACTCCCCCTGCTTGTGTTCCCTCTCTCACTGTCTCTCTCTCTGTCAAATAAATAAAAATAAAAATAAACAGTCAACTAACATCCAAAGTAGTTTCAACTGGTCTCCATCACTTCATGGCTATGCCTATATATGAGTGGTAAGAATAAAGTTCCCCGAAAGTAGTTTTCTGTCAAAAGTCATTTCAAATCTAGTGATAGATTTCGCTGAATTGAAATTGGACTCCTCTCTTTAACTTCTGGTTGAGCAGGAGAACTACTTTCCAGATATTAGACCCTTATAAGAATAAAAATAGCAGCTTGGATGAGTTTTTTAATAATAAAATCCCTAGTGAATGTTCAGTTTTTGTAAATAGTTCATTAGAATTAGAAACCTATTTTGTTCAAGATTTTTTTCTTTATTTTAGAAAGAAAGAGAGAAAGAGAGAGAGGGTGACTGCGGGGGGCGGGGGCAGGCAGAGGGAGAGAGGGAGGGAAGTCTTAAGTAGACTCTGAGCTGAGTGTGGAGCCCCAACTTGGGGCTCGATTCCAGGACTCCGAGATCATGACCTGAGTCAAAACCAAGTCAAACGCTTAACTGACTGTACCACCCATGTGCCCCAGAAACCTATTTCTTCTTAAGAACAAAGTATGTTCATGTGTTTGTCTTTGTGGGCATTTGCAATAGGGTGGGATGTCTTACTCATGGCACTTTGTGGCTCAGAGCCCAAAAACTTTACAATCCAATGGCCAGAACAATCTGATTTTTTTCTATCAGTCAGTGCAAAGGTATACTAAAGAAAAATTCAATAAAAATAATCCACTAAACAACCAAAAATGTGGTTATTTGGAATAGATCTAGTATGGTTATACTTGAGCATATTTCATATTTTTCTTTCTTAGAATTAGCTTAAACTTTACAAAAATACTTCTACAAATTTTTATGTTTACTCTATGGTCCATTTCAAATCAGTTGTTAAAGAAATGATAGCAGTCTTTTTACACAGTGGACAGTATGAAGCTTAAAAAAATACAAAGTTTTCAGTTGTAAAAATATTTAGCAAGCATTGGTGAAAGATACACTTATAGCATACATATCCATGGAAATTATCAGTGCATTCACAGTGAATTTATTAGAATAAGGCCTTTCTACTCTATCAGATCTAGCAGATTTAAGAGGGATCTAGAATTGTTACATTTTCTATAGTGAGAAATTAGTGAAATGCCTACTCTGATATGTAAAATAGAAAAGATAATCCAGAGAAGGATATTTGTGACTGATATGTACCTGGAAATATTGAACTACAAAGATAATATTAAACTTGAACTTTGAAAAAAAATCTTCTTTTAGAGGAGAGGGAAAGAGAAGTAGATTCCCAAAAAACATGAATGACAACATGCATATGTGATATAATATACACAGAATATTTTTTTTTATGTGCTTACGGTGAACTGGATAACATTAAATAAAGGAGGGCACAATAATAACTACATGGAGTGGTCTGAAAAGTGTAATTAAAACTTGGTACAAATAGAGGGAAAAAGGAAGACAAGGAGAAAAGTAGAAATTGAGGTATTATTGGAATTTTTTGGCAGACACAGCTTAAATCACAATTTTCACATTTTTATCCATTGTTTAGTAATCACCTTGTAAAGTGCTTTAATAAGAAAACAGCAGATTCAAAGACTTGAAATAATGCCATAGATCTTACAACGGCAGGACCAAAATTTGTATTTCCTTTGATAGTAAAGATCCTTAATTTCCACCACTCTTCATTGACTTGAAGACCAAGTTTAAGTGTTTTTGGCTTGAGATAATAGACACTGTCTTTGTGTTTAAATACATTTGAAAAAAGAAAATGATATTACAGATGGTATTTGCTGAAAGTCAGGAGAGTCAATAGGGTTGGATCTTTGAATTAAAAAAAAATGGAACAAGTACTATAAAGAGTGCAAATTGATATGGAGTCCACAGGAAGAGAATCTGAGAAAGGCAGAAGCCTGCATCTTTAGCTACAGAGGTTTCTGCCAGAGGAAAGAGGGCATAGACTTTCATTCATCTTTTTTTTCCCCCTCTTTCCATCCAGTCAGACTCCATTAAACAATGAATGAAAGTTATCAAAGTGTATTTACAATGTACCACACCACGGACCGGTGAATTCAACCTGGCAATTTTCTGATAAAGGAATGATACGGACAGGAATGGGCCGATGCTCTGCAAGCCGATTTAGAAAGCAGTGCTGATTTTGATCTCTGGGGAGATAAGCAGTTCTGCCTTGCAGGCTAAGGTGAGCTGCATTAGAAGATTAAATAAGGAACAGATTTTAAAAGACTGTTTGATCCATTTCCTGCAACTGGAATGAGTACCTCTTTTTTTTTTTTGTAGGATTTTATTTATTTGAGATAGAGTGAGAATGCGAGCAAGAGAGAGAGAGAGAAAGAAAACAGGAGCGGGGGAGGGGGAGGGCAGAGGCAGAGGGAGAAGCAGCCTTTCCACTGAGCAGGGAGCCCAATTTGGGGCTTGATCCCAGGGCCCGGGGATCATGACCTCAGCCGAAGGCAGACGCTTAATCGACTGAGCCACACAGGAGCCCCTGAATGAGTACCCCTGAATAAGTTACATAGTTTATTTTTCAAATTTCAATTATTTAAAACATATGACATATAGTAATGGAAGTAACTCAGATTAATAATCTTAATCTGAAGGATTCAAAAATTAGATGAATGCAAACATGAAAGCATCTTGGAAGAAGTGCAGACTACAGGGGCACCTGGGTGGTGCAGTCATTAAGCATCTGCCTTTGGCTCAGGTCATGATCCCAGGGTCCTGGGATCCAGCCCTGCACCTGGCTCCCTGCTCAGCAGGAAGCCTGTTTCTCCCTCTCCCACTCCCCCTGCTTGTGTTCCCTCTCTAGCTGTCTCTCTCTCTGTCAAATAAATAAATAAAATCTTAAAAAAAAAAAGAAGTGCAGACTATATCAAAAAATAAATTCATGGAAAAACAGTGAAAGAAAATTTGAACTCATTAATTGTGGAGATTATTTTGAGTATATTCTCACTACCATTTACACAACTGAAATAATTATCATCTTGAAAATAACTATTGCATGTTAATTAAATATATGTGCACGCCTATGCACACAAACCATTTTGCCTTTGTTTTTCACAACCACCATCAAATTAACTGAGGCCATGTAGGGTGGTAAAATCCCCATTGTTCTTAATCCCATGATATATACTGGGATGTATTTCAGATCCTTTATGTAGTCAAACCATCCATCACCCTCACTTTTTGCAAATATGTTGTAACTTCCCACTTTATAAAGACCATAGTTCTCAATAGGCAAGAACTGCTCCCCTCCCCCACTTTCCCCACACCAGCTGGATCATTGCAAACTTATCAGCAACCATTTACTTTGCACTTCTATTTGATTTTCTCAAGAAAGGAGCCATATCATCATGGGTTGTTTCTTTCTATCTGTGATCAAGATCCTATACAGCGTCATCTTTACCCCAGTCCATCTTTTTAAATCAATTATCCCCTCTTTGGTATGCTCAGTTTCTTGTCTCTATTGACTTTTACTCATCTGCATAGAGACACACATTCAGTCTCTCACCTTACAACTAAAATCCTCATTTTATCATATTCTCATTTGTTTATTTTGTTTTGTTTTTTAAAGTTTTTCTTCAAAGATTGTATTTATTTATTTGAGAGAGAGAGTGTGTGAGAGAGAGAGTTGCATGAGCAGGAGGAGGGGCAAAGAGAGAGGGACAAGCAGACTCCCCACTGAGCAGGGAGCCCAAGCAGGGCTCAATCCCAGGACCCTGAGATGACCTGAGCCGAAGTCAGATGCTTAACTTACTGAGCCATCCAGGTGCCCCTCTCATTTCTCATTACAATCTCAGGAAAGAAAGATTAAAATGATAAAGTATTTTAGGTGAAGACATCATTATTTTACATAGACTAGTGATGACTACTGTTCTGTAATATTTAAACACTCTAAAATCTACTTTGCAGATCCTTTTGTAGTATCTAAAAAACAAATTAATCCTCAATTTTAATATAAACTTATTTTTATTAGAAGAATTAATAAAATTTTATATAGTTCAAATAGAAAAATATATACAAAACACACAAGTAAATAATTATGTAGATAGCTAGATATTAGATGGATAGATAGATGGATGGATGGATGGATAGATAAATGGATAGATAGATAAACAGACAGATGATGGATTCACTTCAGTATCTACAGTAGCACATCAGGATAAAATTTCTCAGCCTGTGTTCTGAATACATTCTACAGTAGAATCATTGAGAGTATTTATTAAAACGTCCAATTCCTCAGCTCCACTTCAGTCTTTCTGAAAAAAATATATGAAGGTAAAGCCCAGAGATCTGAATGTTACTAGATTTCCAAGCTGAAATCATTCAACATTCAAGACACACCGCATTAGGACTTATGTTGAAATCCTTCTTTGTTAATTTTCTATGTTCTACTACATTTTTACAAGGACATAAACATATTGTACTCTAAAATCAAAAAGGTGATAGATACATTTAGTCCACTGACAAATTCTTAGCAAGAAAAAAGAGTCAGGAGGACGTTAATGGTTCCGCTAAAGCTGTCTTGATGAATCCATGACTGTCAAACAAAACCCTGTCTCCCAGTGAGTGTTAGCTAACATGATGAAGATTTTTACATTGGTTAGAAAAGTCTCTTAATGTTACTTAGATTAGTAAAACATAGGGTAGTGGCATTAATAGAAATGACAATCATGATTTTCTAAGAGGGGCTCCAAAGAGACAGACATAGCCATAATTAAAATGTAACTACATCTTAAAGAGGAAATATTTATCATTTTAATGACCCGACAATATAGACTATTGACACCAACATGGATCATTCATGGAAAAATGGGTGAATTGCTTAAATCAGAGAAAGTATGTTCTTTTTACCTTCTTTAAAGAAAGTATCCCTTCTCTGGTCTCCTTGTCAGTGGAGATGGAGAATATCCCAATACCATCACCATTAATGATAGAGTATGTCATGTCAGCATTTGAACCAGTGTCTGCATCATTTGCTTTGATTTTCCCAACAGCTGAACCAACTTGAGCTGACTCAGGAACATACAGTTGATAGTGCTCTGAAAAATATTTCATATTAAAATCATTTGATGGTAATATCGTTCAAAAAAAAGTTTTACAAGAAAAAGACATGAAAATGTTTAGACCACACACTCAAACATTGTATTAAGTAATATAGAAAATATTAAAATGGATTTTAAATATTAGTAAATTGCTTAGTAGTGAAATACTAGGTTTATATAAACTTTAAAATATATGTAAAATAACCTATATAAAAATAATTTGTAGATATCTTAATATAAAGTATTTTATTAGCTCCACATCCCTAGGCAACAGAAAAAAGGTAAGGGAGATCAAATGTGTACTCTTATGTTGAGCAAAAACTAAATTAGTCAAGTATTTCTTGCATTTCTCCTTCCATACAGCATGTGAAATTGCATTTCTCCTTCCATAAGCATGTGAAATTAAAATATTTCTCCTTCCATAAGCATGTGAAATTAAAATATAAGAGTTTGAAAACCTGAAATTCAAAACTTGAAATTCAAAGTGAAAACAAAGAAAAGAATATAGTGTACCTATAAATATGATTATTATTCTGATCAATAAACTTAAGTTTAGTCAAATGTATAGGCCATGACAAAGAGAGAGAGTAAATTTGTTTATGCATTTAATTGCCATGTATTCCAGGTCAGCTTCTGGAAAGAATTTAAAGTGGTTTTATAATAAAGTCATAAATAAAATAAAATTATTAAAATTAATAAAAATGATGACTAAGTTAAAGAATGAGAAAAAGAAATATAACTACATGGGATGATGTAGTATTTGCGATTGACCTAATTTTTACCCTATATATATTAAAACACTATTGATTATATGAACCTCATGATCTGATATGCAAAAATATATTTTTCAGTATGCCCTGATATTAAATGTTTACACTGAACAATTTAAAAATTTTCAAAGTTTGTCCTGATACTAAATTTCTTCAGAGAGAGCTCATAGAACTTTCCTTATAGAAACTTATGAAAGAGATATTAAGAAGCATGAATGGCCATGTCGTCACCAACTGTTTTATTGACAAATTAGAAACATATCTAATAAAACAACTTATTTGTTATAGCAAATCTCAAAGAACAATGTAAATAACAGGAACTGTGAATTAAAATATAATTGTATAAGAGTTTCAACCAAGACTAAATGAATGGTGATTTAACGTTCTGCATGGATATAATTAAACTCTACAGATAAGTAAATATGGAGCCTGTATGAAAATAATTTCCCTAAGCCAATATTTTGTTAGTTATGGTATGATAATATTTTTTTAAGTTAATATATCTGGTAAATGTACGGAGTACTCTAATTTACTTTTAAAGATACAATTGTATGTTTTAAAGTCCTATATGTAGATACCAGGGATTGATTTATGTATTTGTGTTTATTCATTATTCAACAAAGATTTTTCCCAGTTTTCCTCTATAAACATTTGAGGTGCTACCTGGCATTAGTTTTTAGTTCAACAATCCTCACCAACTTAACATTTCCTGGGTAGACCACTCTCTTCTATGAAACACATATCCCCTAACCTTAATCATGTGTTTTTATCAGGATTTTTCATATTGCTAAACAGTCTACCCCTCTTGATATATTTAATTGACCTGTGAAGAGCATAAGGCCCCAATTTTTACAGGACCCCCCCATTCTGCTTGCAGCTGATTTGTGAAAGGGTAGGCAGTTAACTAAAAATGATCCAAAGAGGTTACATCTCCTAAAATGTTGGTACTGGAACTAGGAAAGAACTTTAGTCTCTCTCTGGTGGCAAAGCTATGAAATATTGGAAGGGGTTTCTGACGATAGTCATGTTTCCAAAATTCATGTTGAAGTACCTAATCTCGGGGCACAAATTCAGTATCAGAAAGAAGCCATAATTCTCAGAATCTTTTTAAATATCATAATGTTCCTAGGCAGTTACATATAAAATAGGACACTGTTCTGTGAGAGAGAGAGAGAGAAAAAAGAAATTAGAACGTATCTCCTATTTCCCGCCACTGAGGTAGAAAAGCTAGGTTGTCAACTTCCTGGTTGCTAAGGTCTCTAAGTTGCAGCTTAACTTTCCACAACTCTATAAGCTTCCCAAAGGACTCTCAGCTAGTTAAAACTGGGGTGATAGCCTTGCAAACAAAAGAAGTCTTAGTTCACAGAAATAAATAAGCAAATCACAGAATTATTATGGTGGTAGTGTTACAAAGAAGGTTGTTTTTACAAAGACAGTTGCAAAAAACTGTATAAGTTGGTCATAAAAGGTTCATGTCCCAGAAAACACTTAGGTCACATCTTAAAAGAAGGAGCATATCCCTGGAAGATGATCATGTTCAGGGAAAGAGCTGATATTTATTGATACATTCTAAGAATTGCAAGTACAAGTAACTCTTCCCCATTCACTATGCCCCATTAGACAAATTAGAATATCTGAGATTAATATTTCAACATTTATACACTTTCCATATATTTGAGAATTTGTGAATTGTAAAATGTATTCAAAATGTTTCCTAATACCTAGAAAATAGCTGATGGATAAGATTTATTTATAAATCAAAAGAGGTTTAAGATATTTTTTAGAATTTCTAAGGACTGAATAAATAGCCAGGTTCCTAAAAAATGCTATAAATTCCAGGAGAATAAATATGGTGAGGCTCTTTAAGAAAATATATACTGAATATATATACCAAAATAAAAAAAAATAGGAATAGAAGAATGGTACCATGACACAATAAAGGCTATAACAATAAGCTCAGAGCTTAACATCATAGTCAACGATGAAAAATTGAAAAACTTCCTTCTCAGATCTGGATAAAAGCAAGAATGTCTAATATTTTCACTTCTATCCAACACAGTACTTGAAGTTTTAGCCAGAGAAATTAGAAAGAAAAAAAAATAATAAGAAGAATCCAATTAGAGAGGAAGAAGTAAAATTATTTCTGTTAGCAGATGACAAGATCTTATAGGTAGAAATCCTAAAGACTAAAAAAAAATATTAGAATAAACAAATTCAGTAAAGTTGCAGGATACAAAATCAAAATACAAAAATCAGCTGTGTCTCTGTACGCTAACAACAAACTATCCAAAGAGGAAATTCAGAAAACAGTCCAATTTGCAATAGCATTAAAAAGAATAACACACTTAAAAAGAAATTTAACCAATGAGGTGAAATGACTGTGTACTAGAAAATATAAAACACTGGTGAAAGAAATGAAAGGAGATATGAATAATGGAAAGACATCCTGTGTTTAAGAATTGGAAGACTTAATATTGTTAAAATGTCTATACTACTTAAAGCAATCCACAGGTCAATGCTATGGCATTCTAATCACAATTCCAATGGTGTTTTTTCACAGAAATAGAAAAAGAAACTCAGAATATGGAACTACAAAAGACAGAGAATTAATGAAGCAATTGAGAAAAAAGAACAAAACCAGAAGCTTCAAATGTCCTGATTTCAAAATATATTACAAGCCTACAGTATTTAAAACAGTAAGACATAGCATAAAGATACACATAAAACCCAGTGAAACAGAATAGAGAGCCCAGAAGTAAACCCAAGCATGTAAGGCCAGCTGACCTTTGATAAGAGTGCCAAGACTAGGGGAAGGAAAGATGGTGGAGGAGTAGGGGACTCTATTTCAACTGGTCCCCGGAATTGAGGTGGATATCTACCAGACCACTCTGAGCAGCCATGAAACCAGCCTGAGATGTAAGAAGATCTGTATCTCTACAAACAGAATATTGCAGGCGGTTCGTTTCAAGGTACAAGCGGGGAGCCGTGATTCCGTGGGCAGATACTGGAGGATAAACAGCACTGGGAGGGAGCCTGGCCGTGGGGACCCTACAGCGCTGGTAAGCGACACCCTCACTTGTTGGGGACAGGGCACAGACTCGACCAGTAGTGGCAGGGAAAGGACTTTAGGGCAGCCCCTGGGACAGAAACCCCGAGCGGCGGGGTCGCATGCTTGCGAACTGGGGGTGGCTGGCGGCTTTAGAAGCACAAAGGGCAGAGATGTGCTCCGACCTGGAGGTAGGACTGGGGGTGCTGCAGAGGGGCACACAACCCAGGCCGCTGCAGTTTATAGCAGCATGGACAAAAATGGAGACAGTGTGGCCTGGAGAGCTCACTAAAGAACAGACTGCGGTCTCTGTGCTCTAAGACAGAGGGTTGGAAACGGTCTCTTCTGCTCTGACTCGTGGAAGAGACACGGAAAGCCACCAGGGAAAGCCGCCAGAGAACAAAAGCCCCCAAAACTGATTCCTACTGAGCCCATCCCCTGACACAGGGGGGCAGGGCAACTTCGCCCAAACAGGGTTGTCTGAGTAACAGCGCGGCAGGCCCCTCCCCCAGAAGACAGGCTGGGAAAACAAGAGGCCAGCAATCCTAAGGTCCCTAGAAAACAGGTGCATCTTGCTTGGGTTCTGGTCAATAATTTGGACTCTATACATTCCCTCACCACCCATCAACAAAATGACTAGGAGGAGGAACCCCCAAAATAGAAAAGACTCAGAGATTATGACGTAGGCTGCAGATTTACAAATGGATGCAGATATAACCAAGATGTCGGAGATGGAATTCAGGCTAGCAATTGTGAAGACAATGGCTAGAATGGAGAAATCAATTAATGGCAACATAGAGTCTCTAAGGGCAGAAATGAAAGCTGAATTGGCAGAACTTAAAAATGCTATCAATGAGATCCAATCCAATCTAGATAATCTAACAGCTAGGGTAAGTGAGGCAGAAGAACGAATAAGCGACCTGGAAGACAATATCATAGATAAAAAGGGAAAAGAGGAGGCCAGGGAAAAACAACTCAGAATCCATGAAAATAGAATCAGAGAAATAAGTGACACCATGAAGCGTTCCAATGTCAGAATAATTGGAATCCCGGAGGGAGTGGAGAGAGAGAGAGGACTAGATGTATTTGAGCAAATTGTAGCTGAGAACTTCCCTAATCTGGGGAATGAAACAAACATTCACATCCTAGAGGCAGAGAGGACCCCTTCCAAGATCAAGGAA